GGGGCGGGGGGGTGGCACGCTGAGGAAGAGAGAAAGCAGAGCAGAAATCATTTTTAGGTCACTTTATAAAAACACTCTGCAGATTTCTGTTCGCTGCCTTTTTTTCAAGCAGCATCATAAAACCTAACCAACCTAAACAACTAAGTTATTCTATAGAATAAACCTTTGAAAACCCAATCAGTAAAAACTGAGCACTGCCTGATATATTTACATTAATTTCTTTATGAAGTTAGATTCCACTGGGTTATTTCGCACAACCCTGTGGTGCACACAGCAGGTTTTGGAGAGCCCCAGGATGGAACTGAGCCCCATATATCTGCTGAGGGGGAAGAGGACTCACGGCTGGGAATGAGCAGTCTCGTAGCGCTCGAAGGAGTGCGACAGGTCGTGTTTGTTGTTCATGTAGCACTGGGTGCACAGGTCATAGTCAAAGCACATTTTGCATTTCCACCTCATGCCTCGGATCCCATGCTTCTTGCAGCAGTCACAGATGATGTTGGGGTGACGGACACCTGGGGGGAGCAAAAGGGAATGGGAGATCTACACAAATTCCAGGGAAAACCAGGCTCTTAGAACCACCCTTCTGGCACTGCAGAATGCCAAACCCTTCCAAAAAAGGCGTTGCACTGAGCCAAGGGCAGGCAGGAGTACTTCGCACACAAACACAATGCACCTAGAAATCCTAGGATCCTAGTTTAGAAATTTTTTTAGAAAAATTTTTTTTTTTTTAGAAATCCTGAGTCCTGTGTTTACCTCTTTTCAGCTTCTTACATTCCCATTTTTTTTATCCCAGTCATGTCTAAAGTAAATATCTCTGTTCATTACAGCACAAATGCTGCTCACAGAAGGGTGCCATGCTTAGTGCTGGGCATAGAAACAGCTGTTTATAAAGAGAAATTATTTAAGGCCTAGAAAACCCTGGCACAATTGCTCTGAATGAACCTACTTCTCTAATCCACACTTTACAGAATTAGGACACACAACTGTAACAGGGATTTGAGTGAAACTCAATGAATGCATGTTTTAAAGGGGAAAAAAATCGTGTATTGCAGGTGATGCAATAATACAATGTGAAGTGATATGGGAGGGCCTCTCTGCAGAATGACAAAGTCAGTGAAAGTGTTCAGTTCCCAGACAGAAAAAGTAGGAAAGCAGAGCCTTTGCACAGAGAGAAACAGGAATGTTCTGGCCATGCACAGGTGGTGTCAAAAGCTGTCCCAGCACAAAAGAAGGGGCATGAGGTGGCTGTGCCAGTGGCTGTGCCCTTGCCCAGGCCCTGCTCAAGCAGAGCCCTTGCACAGAGGGAAACAGGAATGTCCTGGCCATGACCAAGGCTCAGCATCACTCTACAAGCAGGTGCCAAAGGCCGGCACATGGGGCAGCTGTGACCTGGGGCAGGAGGTGACTTTGCCAGTGGCTGTCCCCTGCTCTGCTCACCTATCTGGGCGTTGTCATAGAGCAGCAGGTCATAAGCCCCCTGGAAGCCTGTGCGATAGTTGGTTCTGTTGCCCTGATCCCACTGCACCACCACGGTCTTGTCTGGTGTGGTGGGGCTGCCCGTCCGGCCAATCTCCACCACGGTGCCCACGCTGCCCTCGCCGCTGTCCTGGCTGCCCCACTTCCAGTCCACTCCACGGACTACCCGCATCCCGACCTGCATGCTGGCATGAGGGTCCAGGTCCATAGATCTGCACAGCAAACCCTAAAACTTCTCCTCCAGAGGGGTCTGGGAGATGGGCGGGATCATTGGCAGCACTCGTGGTGTCGTGGGCAGCATGGTCAGCACACCTGGAAACACAACAGGAATTTAGGTGATGCCACCCCATGTATCACATTTCCCCCCAAAATGATATGGCTGCAGAAAAAGCCTGACCTGCTGAGGAGGTAAATCTCGGTTTTATTCAGAACTGGGATTCTCACAGCTTAAGCACTGATGGGAATGACAGAATAACTAACCAGGCTTCTCAGGCTCATCAGCATCTGCAATAATATCCAAAAACTTGCTCCAGAGAGCTGTGCATGAGGGAAGAGAACCGGGCAAGGAGTCTGCAAAAAGTACCAGCCCCTGATTCCTAACTCAAGAATATGCACAAGAGCCACCAGAGACACAACAGCAGCAGAAACAAGCAAGCACAGTAAATAAAATTGAAAGAAATGACCAAGAAAACAGCAGCAGCACGATTTTAACAATAAAAGTCAGTCTATTTTTCAGGAAGTCTCCTCACATGCATCTTATCTTAATACAGCACTGTGGAGTTTCACTTGCCCTTTAAGTCAGTTTTGGTTTTAATTTGAGGATACAAGAAGTTTTAATACTTGAAAGAAGCGCTGGTCTGTTTCTGCAAAGTAACAGCAGTTTTTCAAAAACATGGCCTATGTCAGATTAGTTTCAGTCTTTTCCTGTTATTTATTCATGAGCTACAGCAGGAACAGGGAAAGGCTGTTGCTCCACTTCCAATAAACCCAGCAGATTCAATGCTGGGATCAGTGAGACAGGGACAGCCTTCCCAACTATTGCCATGACAATGGATAAATGAGGTGAACACACAGATGCAGCACATCTTCAATTCTGAATTAAATCAGATTCTTAAATCAAGCAGATTCTCAAATCCCTGTATCTCTCTTTACCAGCACAAGACAGAGAAGAGGAATGTGGCTTTCAATATGTAGAGCCTGTAAAAATCTCCTGTAACATCCCTAGGCATCCCTGGATCTCCCTCTTCCTCCTGACCTATACATAACATCCAGATTTTCTCAAAAATTGAAAAAAAGGCCCAAGAGGATGCAAAGGGATGAATAATGCAGATGGCACAAGCAAAGCTCCCCCAGTGCCATGATGCAGAGGGTGAGGAGCTGGTCCAGCTGAGGGATGTGTTCAGCCTCAGCAGCAGGAGCAGCTCTGGGCCCTGGGATGTGTTGTCAACACTCCCACCCACCAATAAAAGCAACTGAAACCACCAAACACTAAAAATAAACCCATCCTCCAGCCAAACATCCCCTTTTGAATGCACGGAGGAATCGTTTGATGCAAAACCACATTTCCAGCATGCAGCGTGAGCCTGATTTCTGCTCAGCTTCAGTATCTCTGCAGCTTCAACCTCTCTCTTTCCTCACTGCTGTGACATCTAAACACCTGTCACATGAGAACAGCATCAAACCCAGCTGTCCTTGTGAACTTCACATCATCCTCCCTTCTAGTCATCACTAAAAGTTGCCCTGGGCAACTCTTTCATTTGTTTTTGTGGGGCTGGATGTGACATTGCTGAACTGAAGGTGCCATCAGTGTTTACTGTCTTTATGAGAGCAGGAGTTATCAAAGAATATCCTTTTTAGAGCCTAGTGAGATGTCATGGAGTTACTTTACCTTTAAGAAAGTTTAAGTTGCTGGGAACTGCCTGGAGTCTTTTCTCCTGACCAATTATCAGTCATTGCTGAGAATTGACAGCAGTTTAGGCCATTGAAAAGTGGGATCAACTTGTGAACCCTACCTTAAAGTGTAAAACCAGAGCTCTCTTGGTTCTCTTTGTTTCCTGGCTGGGAAGGGTGGCAGAGCTCCAGGCCTCCCGTTCCCTGCCCAGGCCATGCGGCCAGGCGGGGACTGGGCTGGGCCCAGCGTCTCCCGGCCGGGAGATGCGGGCCCTGCGGAAGGTTTTCTCCGGGCTCTGGCCGGGCCGGGCCGAGCCGAT